CATCTTAAAAATCATACATGGGCATTTGCTTATAGAACAGCACAGTCTAGGAAAAGCAATAAAAGGAGAATCCAAACATACACCAAAAGCACAGTAGATAGACTATGTTTTGAGCCCTTGTGGAAAACAGTATGGCTCAGTCTGAACGGACAAAACTGCGCTGAATCTCTCAGGAACTTCCCTTCCCACTACGTATCAACATTTAAACTATAAACGTAAAGAGAAGAACTGTTTGTATGCATTAGTTACAGCAATATAATGGCTTACATACAAGAGCTTACCCACATGTAGTTCCCAAAAGATTACTACAGTACTGGCAGGAATATGTACTGCCTTGGAGGAAGACTCAGGATAAGATATTATTCAAGTCAAGTTGTATCAGAGCCAAAGTATTTCACAGGCTTAGCAAAAAAGGACAAAAATTAAGAGATATAATCTACACATATTTCTCGTGAGATTTATCATTGTCCAGGAACAGAAATACTCATTATTCTGAAGGCACCATCACAGAAAAGAAGACTGACACACAATATAAGGAATAGATCCCCCCACCCCAACAGGCCCTGCTCCTCAGGAAGCTGTGTGAGCTAACATCCAAAAGCAAGTAGCGGGTGTCTCAGGGACTGACTGAGTAGGCCACAGCCACTAAGCCACATCTTAGGGCTACTAAGTTAGGGCTACTAAGTTGGGACAATAGGAATGAAAATCTAAGAATGAAAGTACATATAAATCCCATCAACTGAATGGATATATGAAGTACAGGTCCACCGTATAACTAGTGAAACAGACTAGAACAGATGATCCAAACCCACACTGTGGAAAGGATTTTCAGTATTTCTACTCGTAACTACTTAATTCCTGACAGATTCTTGAAGAGGAAGAGCCCTGAACTACTAAACAATCTCAGTCTTTAAAGACTTAATTATCCTCTCCCACTTATCTTAAACAATGGCTATTTCATGGAAAAACAAAAAAAATCCCAACAAGGCACTGTAAACTTTTGGGGAAATTCCTTACGAGGTCCAAAAAAATAATTATTTATAGAAACTGTATACCAGTATAAGCATTTCATGTTCTTTACGGATATGTGAACAAGATTACTTTAAGGGTTAAACCATAAGTTTCGTAGGGTGCTCATATTTTTCATGAAAAACACTGCTAACAATAAGATGCCTGAAAAACAGGTATTTGTGCAGCTTAGAAATCCACACTAAAACATTTTCCTTTTCCTTCTCTCTCCCCCCTTACATTTGGAAGTTCAGTCTCTGAAAAATGTTCTTAATGATACTTAATGTGTTATTTTTCTTCCTTGTGGGGAAAAAAAAAGTTATAAAAAAAATCTCCTTTGGGAACCAAAAAAGAAATCTTTTCATGTTCACAGAACTCAAGTTCCTTCATTCTGTGATGGTTCTTTGGCTTGAGTGTTCCATATATCAATGGTCCTCACTCACGTTTGTTAAGGAATTGTTGTGGTTAGAAGAGCACAGTGCTCATTTTCTGAGGATCTTCCTAGGTTCAAATTGGAATGCTTCAGGTTCAAGGGAGACTAAACACCTCCTAGGATATAACATTGATTTAAAAAATAATTAGTGATAAAATCTAGCTAACTATATTCTAAAGGGGCTTGATTATGCTTCATTAATAAAATTATAAAATTTTATTTTCGAATCAGTGGAAATATGAAGATGAAAAACTAAAAATGAAAGAAAAACCCATATGGAAACAGAACAATGAGCTTCCCACTCCCTTTGAAGAAAACAAAATCTCTTAGACCTGGGTGCATTTTATTAATTATATACATTTCTATAACCTGTTGATGTTACAAGTAGTTTTTACAAATTCCACACTGAAGGCAAACAGTGTGGTTTAGGAAGCAGAAACCCAAGTGTCTTACATCCTTCATAGCAGACAGCATGAAATTCAATAGTTAAAAAAATTCTTTTACATTTTCTGAATTTCAGGATCAATGTATACATTCTTTCCTTTTCAGGACCCTGAAATGAGTAAGAATTCAATGAATGTATTGACATATGGTTCATTTGGGGCCTTGAGCAAAGCCACACTTCCATACTCGTAAAGCCGAAAGTGATTCTGGATTCTTCAATCCAACACTGGCACTTGTTATTTTCAGCTTTTCTTCCACCATGAGCTAAGCCCTAATTAAAAGTTGCCAAAGATTAAGTGGTAAACGAAAAGCTATTACAGCTGTCCTTAATGCTTGTCTTAGTGTTTCTTAAAATGCACACACTTTCCACAGCATTCCATTGTGGCTGCTTCAAGCGCCAGCACATGTAGCTTCTGAATCCATGATAAGGAACTGTTTGTGTTCTACATTTATACAGAGTAGATGCTCAACCACACCCAGCCCCATTTGAACAGCTGAGGTTACACGCTTCAGCTTGGGACTACAGAGCTTCTTTGATCAGCTCTGGTTAAGAAGTTGTAGCTAAAAAAGAAAGGAACAAAGAAAAATCTCTGGAGCCAGCATGCAGAAAGGCATTATCAAAAATGTAAGCTAGGACTTAGCAGTTACTAAGAGAATATTCTGAAAACCAGGTTTCCTTGCAACCCTCTGTATCTGACACACTGATGGAAGCTCATCCTTCACTGAGCTTTTGTTTTCCAAAATACATCAATACAACTACATTTAAGAAGGCTCCAGCTTCATAAGTAGCTCTTAAGTAATAGTACTAAATATGTAAGCATTTAGGATGTAAATTCCCAATTCCTCCCAAGACGAAAGAATTCAATCCTCTTTCTTTGTGGTAAAATGCTGGGCACAATAAACATGTGGCTTCCACAATTCTTACTAAACTAAAAAAGCTCAAGTTACTCAGTATAAGACAAAATTCACTTATGCACTGTATTTTGCACCAGACATTAAGGCATCAGTTTCTCTAAGGGTCAATAAAGCCTGTTCATATGGAGTCTTTAGTATTCAATGCCACTTCTGACTAGCAGCAAGCTCCTAGTCCCACTAAAACCTCAACCCAAATGTAACATCAACAAATATTAGAAATATGACTAATTTAAGAAAGACAAGTCAATGTTTATGCTGTACTAAAAACCAAATCGGTTATGAGCTTTTAAAATTTTAAAGAAACTTAGTCAAAATGAGTTTAAAAGCCTCACATAAACAATATACTCCAGGCTTTAACTTTTATGAAGCCATTTTCAGATATTCCAGAAATATGAGGCAAGGTTTAAGTGCCTCTGTGCATAATCAAGAACCCAGTTCTCCACAGAAACTAAGTATATTCCGAGGTATCTCTCAGAAGCAGGTGTGAGAAAGTGGGGTACAGGGTTTCTGATTTACTAAATCAGTGAAACAGCACTGGGGAGTGTTCATCTGTTTCAAAATAATCCCTGTAGAAATCATTCCAAGAACAGAATGTAGTCATCACTATAAAATCAAGGTTGGGGAGTCCCGAATACATGGAAGAAGAAAAACAAAGACATAAATCACTAATTATTCCGTAAGGTTCATGTAGAACAGTGAACACAACAATTTTCAGCTGTGACATTTACAGTTTCCTAAAACCAAATACAGATTTCTGAGGTTGTTGAAATCTGAACTCTCTGGGAGAGAATGTTAGAACAATCACGTGCAAAAGAATGGGTCTGCTTATGAATCTGTAAATTTTATTAAAAAAAAAAAATTACTCAGAAACACGTATACACTCCAGTGAGATATTACTACTGTATTAAGTTTTACATTTTGATCACCAGTTAGAGAAATTACCTTCATGAATAGATAGATGCATTTTATAAAGCTGAGATTTTTATAATTCTAGAGGCAAGTGGAATTTCCTCATCAAACATCCAACTATTTCAAATAGCAAGGGCGTTTAAAGCTAAGATCTGCTGGAAATTTTATAATTAAAAATAAATCACCAGTGAAGAGAGGCAGCTTCTAATAAATAAACATTTAGTTTTTGTTGTTGAACTGATATTTAATTTTGATTTGCTTACAGATTTTAAGTTTATTAGTTTGAGGCCAATTTTATTACAAATTGTTTTATCATTTTGAAGTCTTAAAAATACCATTTTGTCAATTTAAATTTTCACTTTTCTGGTTAAGTATACTTCAGATATAAAAGGTATCAAACTGCCCAAAAATACTTTGGGGCTGTTGCTACATAGACAGCGTGTCCTTTTAAAGGATCGTCTGCACTTTGACTTATATTATTTGATCAAATATTAATTTTAAAAAATTATCAAAAGTTAGGTATTGCATTAAGAAAAGAATCCATCCCAAAATGTGAATCATGAACCTTGACAGACAGTGATTCAAAGTAATAATTTCACTTATTTTAATATCCAGGTTTGAATGTAAAAATGTCTGCTAAATGTGATTAACATTCTCCCTATTATTTAAGAAATATGACATTTCAAACTTTTGATTATGGCATGTGTATTAATACATTTTTTTCAAAATTTAGGTTAAACCAGTAATTCAAAAAGGCATTAAATCACTATTAAAAACTAAACTGAAACTTTAGTTTTATATGAAAATTTATCATATTGTTTGGATTAATTAAAAAAAAATTGTTACTGAAACTTGAAGTTTTCAAATTCAGCAGTTAAATGATAACTGTGTTTCGTTAGCCAAACGATTCTTTGAACTGGAGATATGAAGTGTAAGGAATCTTCCTTCTTCTGCTCCTGTTGCAGCTTCTTCTGCATCTCAGCAACAAGAATGTGAAATCAGAAACATTAGGACTGTTAAGCTGATAAAGGCATTCATTTCATGGCAAAACTGTCCTTCAAATATAATGAGTGATAGGTCAGTTTTTCTTATACAACATATTATGTATGAAGGAACTAGGATATAACAAGAGATTTTCTCAGTTATACACATACAATTCATACCTCAGTAGAAACAGAAACATGGAAAACTAAAACATGTCCCTAACATTTTTAGACTGACTTAAGGTCTGTACTGTATACTCATTTCAAAGAAAAATGTAGGCCAAGCACCTCACAGAACTGAAGGTATCCTAAGTAACAGGTTGCCTATGTTCTTTCCTGAGTCCCCTCCTTAATGGCCTACTCACACTAGAATTTGTAATCACTCCGCAACGGAATCCTTCCCTTAGATATCTGCTTCCCAGCAACGCCCTTTTTAAAAAGAGGCTGGATAAGCAGTGGATGACACCAAAATCTGCCTTTGTTCCCAAGGGGAGGCATCAATACGGAGCAGCTGGCAGCATCTTCCTTTGAAATAACAGCTAGCAGCCTTGTGCTGCCTAAAATTTGAAATGACAACCAGTTGGCGGTCAACTGATGCACCTACAAGGAGAGAGATTTAGGAATACCATCTGTCAATCCATAGATGTAGAAACAAAACAAATACAGAATGATTAACAACTTATTTTCAACCAACAAACAAATTTTGCTGAAATACAGTCCATGATATATTTGATTACTGGTATAACCATAGTTGAAGACTTAAAAAAAAAAAAGTGACATTTTTTTGTAACAACAGTAATGGATTTATAAAAGGTTTTTGTTTCCAAAGATGTTATTGGGGTCCACATACTCCTTGACAGACTTCAGCATCCCAAAGCCAACATCAGAGATACTTTCCTTTAGCCACTGCTTCCGTAACTTGCCCACTGGAAAAACAAAATCAAAAATGCTTCAGTATACACTATGATGCTGAGAACCAATCAATCTTGTGACCATGAATGAACAAACACTGTGTGATAAATGCTTTTATTCAAAAATGAGAAATGTTTTGCTTTATTTGATTTATTGAGCCCACCAGACTATCAAGCTCATTAAGCCCAATGTATTCCCAGGGGAAGCCTGAGCTCCACAGTGTCTCCTTTCTCTGTAAACTGTGAAACGGAGATGAAGGAAGCCTGGGCTGAGATCAGGGCCCACTTCACAAATAATAAAATGAGAAAAACATGCATTTCAAAAGAACCCACCTCCTGTCTTAACTACCGAAACACGCCAAAATTTCAGAGAAAATGAAGTTAACTAAAGAAAAACATCATCTCCAGATGAATTTATTGGGAATATTATAGCAAAAATGTCAGGATATATACATCCATAAAATATTGTAAAGCTTAAAATAATTAAGGAAATCTGAACCTGTAATGGGTTTAAGAAAAAAATGTGGTTATGAAACTTTAATTTGCATTTTATTTTCATATTGCTTTTAAATAAATTCACATGTTCCCTAATAATGGTTATTTTCTTCCTATTGTTTTTCCAGAATTAAAGATTTTTTTTTTTAGGCACTAAATAAATACCTAATCCATTTAAAACTTAATCTTCTACTTTTATATATTGTATAATGTTCCCCTTTTCTGTTTCCAGCTCTTGCTAGTTTAAGAATAATGAAGTAATATGATGATCCACAGCATAAATTATCTTTTTGAGGGCACTCAATGAAAAAACAAACTTTTTAAAGTAGAACTTTTATAAGAAAGAATATGTACTTAATCTGTAAAAAAAATTTCGAAATGTTAACTTGCTTTGGCATTAAGAAAAGCAAAGCAATATGCTAATTTATCTGTGGCAAAATGGATAAATCTTTTAATTTACAGATAGGCTTATTTGCAGTTAGCACTTTTCAAACATATTATTGTAATAATTGAATTCAAATGGTCATTTTCCACAAATGTTCATTAATGATCCAAAGTCATCAACAGTGATTTAATTGGCCAACTGAAATGGAAACCTTCTTTCATTAAAGTATTCAGCCTGTCATTCTAAAATGCAATCTCATTTATCAGGCTGCAGTGATACACTGTAGCATCTGCCATTTGGAACCTTAAATACCATTTCAGGCTCAACTGAAACCATCTTTGTGTCCAGTTCTCCAGGAAACTATCAAATTGTCATTAAAATTATAGCATGATACCCTTAGAAAGCAAAATATTTCTGCTTGACTTGCAGAAATAAAAACGTTTGCTGGAATTAAGATGGGGAAAAATGAGATACAGCAGGAAAAAAAATCTTAAACTCTAAAAGAAAAAAAACTGTTTAAAAGAGCTCTAAAACCAGAAGCCAAACAAAACAGATTCTTATTCATGCAATCTCCACCACCAAAAAGATGTCCTACCGCGTCCTCCTACTAGCTCCTGAAAGGACAACTCACTACAATGCTTTAGCCTTGGTTTTGTCATCTTCAAAGGGATTAGAATCTATGAAGTCTTTCAACTCAAACAGCCTATGATTTTAAGCACTCAAAAAAGTTACAAATCAGTTATTTTCCGATTTGCTCCAAGGGATTTAAAAAAAAAACCAAACACAACTACTTTGTGAGTGACAGAAGTCGCATTATTATAAGCTACCCACACGGAGGCAGCTCAAGGGAGAGGGGTGAAGAGCAGTCAATGTTAGTCTCCGTTATCTGTAATATAGTTTCACTGAATGTGTCCTGTGGTTATGGATGTAATTGTCCTGAAAAGACTGCAAACAACTGCTCCAACAAGATGGAGCACATTAGAACCTCAGCAGGATGCCCAACAGCTAGCTTGTCTGCCTGGTTTTACACCTCTAATAATAATGCAATTCCACAACGAGCTGAACCATCCTCTGAGAAGCCACCCAACAGCCATTGCATATTTAATGAAGTTGCTCACCAAGCGCTGGAAAACAGAAGGTGCTTGGAGTGCATCATTAGTTCTGTCAGAAGGATAATTTACACATCTATCTTGTCAAATTTTCCATGGTTTATACTTTTACAATAATCAATCTAACATACATTTGATTAGTGAACTAGAAAGTAAAAAAAAAAAAAGAAAGAAAGAAAGCAGTACAGGCAAAATGGCTGTGGTCCCTCATAAATGTATTTAATGAAAGAATTTAACCCCTTGATGGCAGAGGTCTCTGAGCTTCTTCCATCAGTGATAACAGAATTTGATCTGAGGTCAGAAATCATGGCCTATAAAATTAAAGTGACCAGGAATCTTTTTAGTTTTGCTTAACAATTAGGTCAGCTATACTGTAGGATAAGTGTACAGACAGAAAACACAGTTTAAGTAAAAGTCTTCAGCCTTCTAAGACTTTAAGATGATTAGGAGAAACAGTCTTCATAAAATGCTACCAAAGAACCTTTGGTAGCTATCGCAGATAAATCAATAAGTGAAAATAACACCAAAATACCAAAGGCCAGGGGCACCTGGGTGGCTCAGTGGGTTGAAGCCTCTGTCTTCAGCTCAGGTCATGATCTCAGGGTCCTGGGATCGAGCCCCGCATTGGGCTCTGTGCTCAGCGGGGAGCCTGCTTTCTCCTCTCTCTCTCTCTGCCTGCCTCTCTGCCTACTTGTGATCTGTCAAATAAATAAATAAAAATCTAAAAAAAAAAAAAAAACCCAAAGGCCATAATCTCAAAGAGAGACTACACTTCAAAGTAGATTACACTTTTATTCTAGAGCTAAACAACAACACTAATAATGTCCTTTGTACAATCCTTACCTGCACTGCATTTAAGCATTTAGAAATTAGTTGACTGTACTGGTCTGGATACGTTTAACACACATGTGCACAAATACATGTGCGCTTAAGCATTTGCAGAGCTCATTTCAGAAATGGAGGAAACGACACTCTGTCTGTCCTTTATGTAGCATGCCATATTGGAGGAGGGGAGAATGGATAAGAATAGCAAATAACAGGCAGCCGAAGACTATTTCAGCATCCCTTGCGTGTATTCACACGTTATTCATGACAAGACATTTATGTACATTTTTACCACATGAAGTTTATGCCTCTTTCTGAACCTGGGTTATTCATGACTACTGACTCAACTATGTTTATTTGACTTCTGATTTTCCAGAAGTATAAACCTAGTCTAAGAGCTAACACTAGAGCTACAAATGCCAAGATAGGGACCTTGTACTCCACAACTCACAATTATCCTACTGATGCCCAAAGTCTAAAGCCAGGTATTTAAGAGGCTTATGTATATTCTTAAAAATGCAAAATCTTGGGTGCCTGGGTGGTTTAGTCGGTTAAGCATCTGCCTTCAGCTCAGGTCATAATCTCAGAGTCCTGGGACCCAGCCCCACATTGGGCTCCTATGCTCAGTGGGAAGTCTGCTTGTCCCTCTCCCTCTACCCCTCCCCCTGGTCATTCTCTCTCTCCCTCTAGAAAAAATAAAATCTTAAAAAAAAAAAAAAAGATACAAAAAATACAGACCAGCTAAATGCTGAAGGTTATCAAAATGAAGGGGAAAATTCTTTTTCCGCTCAAATTAAAATGGAATTCACCTTTTTACAACTTAATATCTAATTATGTGTATACAGATTGGATAAGACAAGTATTTTATGTTCCTCCACAATATACAGTATATTTTTTAAAAATTACTTTTGGAACAGAGGAAATGGAAGCCTTTAGGGACAGCATTTGAAATCACAAGTTCAACAATCCCTTTTGGATGCTTAAGCTCCAAGAAAGAATGTATTTTGTGGTATGAATGACCAAACATGTACAGGGAGTACAGAAGCACTGGGTGTGAAAAATGAAAAATGTACATGGTACCCAGCCTAGTCACCAAAAATTATCTGAAACTACTCTTTGTGGTCTAAAGGACTGAAGGCTTCGCAGAAGCTACCAAACAGTCCTGCTTGTTTTTTTTCTAAGAGTTTATTTGATAGAGAGAGAGAGAGATCACAAGTAGGCAGAGAGGCAGGCAGATAGAGAGAGGGGGAAACAGGCTCCCTGCTGAGCAGAGAGCCCGATGTGGGACTCGATCCCAGGACCCTGAGATCATGACCTGAGCTGAAGGCAGAGGCTTAACCCACTGAGCCACCCAGGTACCCCATCCCAAACTGTCCTGTTTTAAAAAGGATAAATCTTAAAAAAAAAAAAAAGGGGGGGGATAAATCTGGGGTCTGCTGGCCAGAGTTCTTTTTAGCTAAATTAAAAACTTTTTGAATTATGAATCTGATTATAAGATTGCAAAGATTATATGCTTATTTAAAAAACAGATTATGAAACAGACTGTACATTTAGAAGATTACCAAAGCTAAAGCTCAGAAGTAGAACTTAGCCACAGCTAAAAGCACCTAACCATTACTATATAAAACTTATATTTTGAAAGTTCTAGTTTGGGCATCCTGCATATCACTTTAGCACAACTCTATAGGTCAGATGTTAAAGAGAAAATTTCGACTTAGGTGCTTATATGAGTGATCTGAGCATTAACTTTGTATTTCAAGTTTTAATTAATCCAACCAAACTACTGGTAGATTATGTAAGGAATCAGTGCAGGAATACGTGTTGGAATCAGCCCAACAACCTCATGCCATTTGCGGTTCTGGCCCCATGAAACTTATTAGGTACTGATAAGAAGAGAGAACATGGACAACTTCCACTCTGAGGTGATCTGACTGTGATGACTTGCTTCTTCAGAGCAAGGGTTTCAACATGAAAAGAGGATGCACTTGTCCATGCATTCGTGCTACACAGCACATTTTTGTATGTGTTTGGTTCTGGTAGAGGTACATGCTGAATGTTAGCCAACAGATCTCCAACTGAGGGATGCTATCATCCAGGCTTTAAAGGCACATGAGATGCGACTATGCCTATACAAAAGTTTAGTTTAGTGCTTTGTGGATAAGTTAAGTCATGTTTCCATTTCTTTTTCAGATATTCAACTT